CCCACAACCCGCTCTGTCGCAACCCAGCCTGTGATGGGTGCTGTAGTCCGTCTGGAGCTTCCCAGGGAAAGGCGTCTCCAGACAGGACGATCACCTTAGCGCCCCCCATGAGGGGGCTCTGTTGAGCGGATGGCGTTAACCGGGGACCCTAACTCCCCGCGTTCTGTCTCATTGCGCAGGAAAAATTCTGGCTTGGCTGTTCCGTTTCTTCCTCTCGCCACGAGCTGTTTTTCCTCTCGCAGAGACGGCGCATCCCCAAGACACGAACCGCTGCTTCTCTTCCTCAGCCCGCTAAAAAGTCAGCGCGCTAAAAGGAAAAACCCTGTCCTGTGTAGCCTCACTGTCTTTTGTCTTGACCAAATTCACCCATATGCTGTACGGACCAGATAATGCTGGATTTCCCCATCCTGGGTTCTGGACCAAAAGGGAACGCTGGCTGGAAAAAAAAAATCCCAACTTTGTAGACGCTTTTTTTTTTGCAAGCGGTTTTTGGGACGTCAGTTTCTCCTCTTGCATTCCAGCGCTGTGATTGTTCTCTTTAAAAAAAAAAACAACTCCGTTTTCCAGGACACTAAAAATCCGCTTTATTATTATTATTATTATTGTCCCACCTGTCTTCAGCCAAAACAGCAACAAACTGAGTTGACTCTCGTTTTGTCGTAGGCGACGTTCCCCCCGAGTTAAAACTGAGTTACACGTATTTTCCTAACCTTTGGCTTCCATCTCTCCATGATGTTAAGGCACTTACCCTAAAATGACAGGTTCCCACGTGCAACATACTAATGTCTGGGGGTTAATTTTTTTAGCCTGTTGCTGCCTGGCTTTCCATCTTCCGTATTCCCCAGGTGACAGCAAGCAGAGACTTTTTAATTTTTGCAGGAAGCAAAATTGGGGTGATGGGAGCTTGTGTGGTTTATTAAGGAGGTGCAGGAAGACGTTTCCTTCTTTTTCCCCCTCCCCCAACTTCCCCCTCCCCTTTTGTGGCATAAACTTGGTTTGTTAGGGGAGGCACCAAGGAACACTTTAAAAAATATATATATTGTTGGAAACAAAAAGTGTATATTTGGGGAAAAGCACGGAACAAGGATGCTAATCTCTCGTTTCCTTTTCCTGTACCAGATTATGGCTGATGGGTGGGATTCATGTATGTGGATTATTTTTTAAAATCAATTGCTGAAACTGTTTTGTACAAGAGGCGAAATAAACCGGAATTATGTCAATCCTGTGTGCGATTCAAACTGGGTTGCTGGGGGAAAAGGGGTGTCAGTTTTGGGGGAGACCCAAATGAGGAGGGATCCAAAAAAAAAAACCTTTTCTAATTAACGGGTGTTACATTTTGGGGTGCTGCAGTTCACTTCCGGAGAAGCAATTCACAAACTCAAAGTCGCCCTGCGAGGGAGAGGAAAAAAAGGGAACTTGGCTGGCATAACTGAGCAAAGAACACATCGCTAAATTCACATACAGGCCGTTCTTGACATTAAAACCATTTAGTGTGTTTGAAGCTATAACACCACTGAAGAAAGGGACCTTGGAGGTCGTCAAGTCCAACCCCCACTCAAGCAGGAGACCCTAATGCAACCAAGAGCCAACCTCGGTTTGTTTTCCCTTTATTTTTAAGATGGCTAAAAGAGGAAAAACTACAGTGAGGTTGGTGAGAAACCAGTGGGACTGAATCAACTCCCAACTGTTGCAAATTTCAGTGCAATTAAATCATTAGCTAATTAACTAGTACAATTCCTCTGGATTTCACAGTGTAGGAGAAAACAGTGTGCTGCTTTCTAGCTCGTCCTTGCTACTATATACTTATTTAATAGAATTTAAAGGTCACCCAGCTCCAGATAAATTTGGGTGCCGTTTCTTGAAACAAGATTTGAAGATAGAGCTGAAATCAGTCCAGCTCTTCATTTTGCTCCCCAGCACCTGAACACACTTTGAAGGAAAATCTCATCCCTTTCTTGATTCTCCCCTTCCCCAAAACTCAATCAAACAGATCTACTACCCTGATCCACATTGGACCAATTTCAAAATAGATCCTAGACCCTAGAAATCCACAGACCTGAATAAAGGAGGGAGGGAGAGGGGGAGAAAGAGAGAAAGGAAGGAGATAAAAAGTGATGAGAAAGAGGGGGAGAGAGAAAAAGAAAAAAGGAAGGAAGGAAGAAAAGGAAAGAAAGAAAGAAAGAAAGAAAGTGAACTAACGAAACAACGAACGAACAAAACAAGGAACGAACGAACAAAGAAAAAGAGAAAGAAGTGAACGAATGAACCAACAAACGAACAAAACCTTGAATGAACGAACGAACATAACGAACAAACCCTCATCCAACAGAGACCCCCCCAAAAAATGATTTGTTAAACTAAAATCACCCTGATTCTTCAGGGTGAGACGCTGCCTATAAGACGGATTTCCAGGAAGGTGCTTGAATGCTGATGGGTGTTTTTCCCCTTTTGTGTGTGTGAGACAGGTGTCTCCTGGACAGCAAGTTTGCAAATTTGTGATTCCTCCCTCAACACGCTCCTCCAATGTGCTTTTATCTTCTCTTTAATTTTTTTATCTTTATTTTTTTTTCTTTTACCTCTTCTTATTTTTTATTTCATTTTATTATTGTATTTTTAATTGTCTAATTTTTATTTTTATCTTTATCTTTTATGTTTATATTATCTTAATTTTATCTTTATTTATTTCTTATGTATCTTTTCTTATTTTTATTTATTTTTCTTATTTTACTTTTATTTATCTAATTTTTATCTTCTCTTTAATTTTTTTTATCTTTTATTTTTTGTTTTATCTTTTCTTATTTTCTTATTTTGTTTTTATTTCATGTCATTTTTATTTATCTAATTTTTATCTTATCTTTTTTTGTTTTATCGTTTCTTGTTTTTATTTATTTTTTATTTTTATTTGGATGACGCCTTCTCGCCACCCTGACAAATTTTAAATGCACACACACCGCCCAAAAAAGTCACCATAGTTTCTGAACCTCAGCCACTTTAAGACTTCAACTCCCAGAATCCCCCATGCTGGCTTTCAACAAGCCAAGCCAATGGGAAAAGCTGGATCCACTTAACGACTATATGATTCACTTAATGACTGTGGGGCGGAAAAGACAGTAAAATCTAGTCTGTCTTACTTAACAAACACCTCATTTAGAAGTTCCATTCCCCATGGTCATGTCATAAGTCCATGGTGGTCGTAAGTTGAGGACTGCCTGAATTGCATTTGAAGTGCTTGTTGATACTGACATGTCAAGTATTAGCACTGATTTATAAAGCCTTTGCAAGGCCATATCTGGAATACTGCATCCAGTTTGGATCACCACATTACAAAAAAGATCCTGAGACTTTGGGGAGGAAAAGTGCAAAGAAGAGCAACTAAGATGATCAAAGGCCTGGAGACTAAAACATATGAAAAACGATTGCAGGATTTGGGTTGGGCTAGTCTAGAGAAAAGAAGGGTTAGGGAGGACATAATAGCGGTATTCCAGTATTTGAGGGACTGCCACAAAGAAGAGGGGGTCAATTTATTTTCCAAAGCACCTGAAGGCAGGACAAGAAGCAATGGATGAAAATTAATCAAGGAGAGAAGCAACCTAGAACTAAGGAGAAATGTTGTGATAGAACAATTAACCAGTGGAACAGCTTGCCTTCAAAAATGGTGGGTTGCTTCATCACTGGAGGTTTTTAGGAAGAAACTGGACAGCCGCTTGTCTGAACTGGTCTAGGCCAGGGTCTCCTGCTTGAGTAGTGGGGGTTGGACTAGAAGACCTCCAAGGTCCCCTTCCAGCTGTATTCTGATTCTGGGCTGATTCAGTCTCTTCCCTCCCTTAAATTGCCACAACCGAGTACTGATTCCACTAAGACTTCGTGTTATTGCTTGGACTCGGATTAGCTGTTACACCCTTCCAATACCTTGGGCTTTTGGGGGGGGGCGTTGTGGGTTGTGTGTTTGTGTAAAGCTGTGGTTGATCTTGGCATGACGTGCCCAGTGGCCCCATTCTCCCTACCCTATTTTCTGAGCAAGGTCAGTGATCAAGACCGTCTCTGTACGCAGCCTTGGCGTTATCTTCCCCTCCGTTTGGTGTCCGTAGCCTTTTGCCCAAAAGCATCCCAAGTAGTTTTTACAGCCGCCTCTCCACCGTAGGAAAACCTCATTCTGCCCTTGGTTAGGCGGTATTTAGTTCTTCGGGCATTGCAATCTCTCCATTGCTGGGCTGTGTTTTGCAGCTGGCTGGCAAAATGCCCCAGATCAGAGGGCTGCTTGGAAGATAAAAAAAAAAACGCTGTTGAGATTTGGGCTGGTCCTTCGGTCTGTTTCTGCACGGATCTCTAGCGCCAAGTGCAATCAAGGCTTTGGTTTCCAGCCAAAGGCTCAAGGACAAAACTCGGCGTTTGCGGAAAGCAATCCCAGGCATAAATTTCCCGGTGTTTTCCACCCACTGACTGGGAAAATTTAAGGCTTTTGTAGTCCAATCTGCCCCATGGGCTTCGTGGTGTGTCTCAGGAAAAGTTCCTGGTTGTTTAAAATTTGAACCCTGGCAGCTGTACTGGGTTCCTTTTTCTTCTTATTATTATTA